CTGAGGCCGACTGCCCTCAAGGATGGCTGGAGATTTTGGAGGTGGGTTCTTCCCTGGCCTTGAGGCCACATGCTTCCTAGATCTTCCAAGAGTGCTCATATCACCAGCCGTCTACTTCCGAACCTTTGGATCCGACTATGAAAGAGAGGGTTTGTTGGGGTCGCCCTGCTACAAAAACCACAGAGTGAGAAGCAGGCCACAAAAAATTAATTTTGACTTAGACAAATGGAAGAGAAGTTCACCTTGGGCACCTGTGAAGCAGGCGACTCTTCAATAGGCCGCTTGGCCATCGCTTGCCCAGGATGGCCAAGTGGTATAGGGCAACAACTTTCTTTGATGCTGAGAGCTTCTCCATAGCTTTATTTGCAAAAGATGAATCAAAGAGTTAGTTCGACACAAAATCAACCGAGTCTTACAAAACACTTGAACATGCGGTCAACTACCTCTCGGTATCTCTCCACTAAGGCCACAGGCAGCCAGATATGTCCCATCGTATAGCTAGTTATATTTTGCAGCCGGCAACATAGCCTAAGATGTTGAACCAAGAGTTTGGGGCCAGTTGCTAGACACCCAGTTGCTATCCGTCCAGGATTCGCTCCACAGCCAGATGTAGAGGAAATATTAGGCCAGCCTTAATAGTAACCTCATAGCAGCAAAACCATTCGTCCCCGTAGATGGACCCCTTTGGCCAGACTACAGTGTCCTCGGCATCCGGCGTGCATAAGATATAACCATGCCCCATGACATGGTTAGCTCTGAAGCTTCCTATTTTATCCGCCATTTTTTTTCGCCTGCCTACGGGAACATGATGATAGTAGGCGGCATATTGCTCTCGACGGGTAGCAGACGGCTCTGCCCAGTCTTCTCCCATTTCTACTGAAAGGGATTCTCTCGCTGTCTCTAGCCCAGAGTGCCTTTCTTCAAAGTCATCAAAGAATTTGCTTGAAGTACTTGGCTCAGAGTCACTGCCTAAGCTCTTGGACGCAGCGTCTGCCTGACGAGCTAGATCAACAAAGCCTGAAATGTCATTTTGAACCTCCTCCTCTGATTCTTCCAAAATGGAATCACTGGGAGTGCTTGGGCGCTAGGCGGCACGTCAGATATCTCATTGACAGGCGCATAGAAGGATGTGGCGTCTGAGTTGGTCACCCTTGCAGTTCTTTTAGTTCTGGCCATGGTGTCCTATACAGACACATAGACAGTCGGACTTAGGGCAGTTTGCAGAGGGTGCGTGGTCCAGCAAGGGGCAGTCGACACTCCTAGTTCTAGATTCAGCCGTCCCTGGTGATCGACTGATAACTAACCTAGGCCGTGCCGTGTGCTTTTGAGAAACCATTTTCAAAAAAGAAAACAAACAAAGAGAAAGTACAAGAGAATACAAGTGGTTACCTTTGATTTAAAAAGATTGAAGGTGCTTGAAAAAATCTAGCAGCTGTAAGAGCAGGCGGTCAGCTAGCAAGCGTCAGTCATTCTCTAAGAAGAAGTCAAAGGCTAAAGTCCAAAGTCTGAGAGTTTGAAAATTCTAGAATGTCCAAACAAATGATTTGGACATCCCTTATTTATAAGGGGGTGAATTTCAAGAGACGGTAAAAAAAAATAGTAAAAACTATTGGCCAATTAGAGTGTGACCTATCATAGGCGCCACGTGGCAAGCCACGTTACCCCTATGGGGGGAAAATGATTAGGGGATTTAACTCCGCCACGTGGACCAATTGAACCCTACCACGTGTCATCCACGTGGACCAACCAGAGTCCACCACGTGTCACCTCGTTAGAGGTCCAAGGTGATTTAAAGCCGCCACATGGACCAATTGCATTTCTTGAGAGCTAAGGCTCGGATTTCGAGGCTGTCTGAGATAGCCGGATGATCATTCCTCTCCTAAGAGGAGCCTGATCCCATCTATATTCCGCACTTTCTTACATCCGAACACATTCTAACTTGATCGTCGGAGGCGGAACTCCCAACCCCGGGAGTATTCGTTATTTTGCAGGTACAGGCGCGGGGATCCAGTCTCGGTGTTGTAACTCTCCCGCAGGACACATAAAAAACCCCGAAACAACCTTCGTTTCTTATTTTATGCAACCAAATCCATTGCACGAGACAAAACTTTTAAGGAGTTTTAATTAAAATAAGAGCAGTTAATTAATCACCACCATCCCACCAAATACAATATCAGCAACCACCCTATCATTACTAAGTACCAACACCAACAACAACCACCCATCCTAACCACCATAACCCCACCCTATAGCCACCATAAATCGCCGCAACGAAACCCACCCTTAGTCACACCACAACCACCACACCACCACATCAACCCTCTCGACGCCCACACATGGCCACCCACAACTATTGCACACAAGTAGCAACCACCACACATCCACGCCTATGGGTGCTCATAATTGGGTACCCGGGTTTTCGGGTAGTGAATTTACCGGCCCATGTCCCGACCCGATAAAACCGGGTACCCGGTTGTCGAGTACCTGATTTTACCGGGTCAGGTCACGGGTACCCTTTAAAAAAATTATCTTTTTACTTAATAAATTAAAATTTAATGCTAGCCTGCTTTTTTCATATCAAGCCTGCTTAAAGAACCAAAACTCATCATAATCGTGGTCATAATAGCTCTAAAAGTACTCTAATTATATTAATCAATCAAACACAGATTAACTTTAATTACGATTTTTTATTAAAAAATATAATAAAAAATTAACTACTACTTGCAAAGTCATAATTCATAGCATACCCAACAAACAACAAGATTCCAAAAAAAATCAATCAAATTTAAACTAAGAAGCAGCAACAATCCAACAACGACAGCCGACAGGAATCACCGAAACATACGTACACAGAAGCAGCAGCACCAGCACCGCACCTAGATTGTTTGTAAGCGGTAAGCCGTCAGGAACTCACGACTCCTCATGAAATGGATAGGTCATCCATAATCCATATAATACGCAAAATAAAGGGAGGAAGATGAAGAAAGCTAGAAATCTAGGAGTAATTGTAAAGTGTAATTAAGGAGTGAATTGAAGAGCAAAGGAGTGAGCATGAAGGGGGGGATGATGGCTGTAGAAGTAGAGGAGAGAGAATGGAAGTGAAGATAACCCTAAGTCCCCAACACTTTAAAAGAACATATTATAAAAATATAAAAAAAAAACTCACGGTTAGCGGGTACCCGACACCCCCACAACTCGCCCATAACCTGACCCGAATACCCGCTTGATTTCCTAGGTAGGGTACCCGCCCCGTTAATTTTAGAAAAATTAAAAAAATACCCGGTTAAATTAAGTCGGGTCAGCGGGTCATTGGGTCGGGTCAGTCGAGTCGGGTATTTTTGAACACCCCTACCACGCCACCCTAACCACCGAAAGGCCAAAACCACCGTACTAACCCACCTCGTAACCACCCTAGCCACCACAAACCCACTTTTATAACAACCTCTCACCACAAACACCTCTAAAACAACCCCTTGCCATAAACCCACCTTTAAAACAACCCCTCACAACAAACCCACAAATCAACTCTTGGGTTTCGATTACAATTTAAAGGAGGAGGGGCGGTGTCGCCTTCGATCTCGACAGGTATGAGGGGCATTGACTACGATCTTGATGAGGTGGAAGGGCAATGGCGAATATTAAGGGGGAGGAGGAAGTGGCGATGACTTTGATGAGAGGAGGAGGAGCGGTGACGAGGAGGATGGACGATAACTTGGTGGGGGGTGGTTATTAGGGAAGGGAGAGAAGATAAGGTGGTGGGGTGGTTGTGAGAGAAGAGAAAGAAAAAGGGGTTAGGTGGCTGAGAGGGAGGAGAGAAAATGTAGTGCTGAGGGTGCTAGATGTGGTGGTGAGGGAGGAGAGAGAAAGTGGGTTAGGGTTTTATTGAAGGATGATTAAGTAAGGTTAATAAGTTAACAACAGTTGTTTGATGTCTTAATTGAGTTAAATAAGGGTTTGATGGTAATTTTATTCAAAAAGAAATTTACTACAAACGGGAAAAAATAATTTGTTGCACATAACTTGAAACATTCGTTTTTGGCAAAAGTTGCACAAAATAAGAAATAGAGGTTGTACTTTAGAGTTAAGATTGACCTGATTGACATCTATTTGGATGAGCTCTAAAAGGCTTTGGTTAGCCGCCCAATTATCCATAAAAAAATCTCTTTGCCATCACCTATTATTCAACAGATACCTTTTTCTCAAAAGTTTATGTTGAGCAAGAATTTTTCTCCATATATGTGAATCTTTCACATTGTGTTTGCACTCAAAAGAGGATGAATTGTGAAGATATTTATCTTTAATGACTTTCACCCAAGTATTCTTTGGGTTTGATATTTTACTAGTACATTGACATATGTTTAATACTTCCTCCGTTTTTTACTTGCTTCGCTTTGACTTTTACACTACTTTTTACCACCCCTCATTTGACCGTCTTTTGTGACTTATATATAAGGAAAAACATATCCATGTGAAATTTTGTTAGGATCGTCTTAATAAGTACGTACTATCATAATATATAACTTTTATTATCCTTACTTATGGAGAATTAAATTTATTGATGGTTAAAGTTCTACATTGACAAACGTGATAAATGAAACATGCAAGTAAAAAAAGATGGAGGAAGTATATACCAAAAAAAGTTTGACAATGTCAATTATTCGGGGGCAAAGCCACTAGTTATTTTTGGGTTGGATAGAGGAGCAACATCAAGTTAATTAGGCTAATGACATGACAAAGTTACTCCATTTATCTGAGCAAGGGTTTTGGACTTTTGGGTGATAAATTATACTGTCTCACCTTTTATTTTATTTTTAAGTACCATCCTAAATTAAAAAAAAATCCTCTTTTTTTTAGTAAAAAATACTATTATACAAATACTTCATCAACCTCTTTTTTTTTTTTTTTTTTTTTTTTTTTTTTAATTAGTCGACTAAAAAAATAACTCTATGACATCATTAATTGTTTTATTATAAAAATTCTTTTTATTTTTATAATATTTTTTACTAATTTTTTTTATTAACCGTTTTAAATTTACACCTATTAATACTAATAGAGTCGTTTCTTATATTGCACATACACGCATTGCGTGCGTTTCTTAGCTTGCACTCATATTAGTTAAAATGACAAGAGTTTATTCCTCATTTATTAGTCAAAATGACCGTAATACCCCTTAATTTTTTAATGATCGTTTCTTAGCTTGTACTCATAATAGCTTGTACTTACTCCTTGTTAACTTGAAATTTCTCTTTTTTTTTTTGTTTTTTGTTTTTTTGAAGATAATGTTAGGCAGGAATATAATAAATCAAAACAAACGTCCAAGACTCTGCTGGAACGGACCCATACAAACAAATTCCGAACAACCACGAGTATCTGCAGGAATATTTTTATCTAACAATAAGTCTTGTGTAAGGCGAGTGTACGTTTGTAAGACATTCAGTTTGAGGGCAGCTTTAGCTATTTTTATGGTAACTTTAAACCCTTAAAGGGTAACTTTTAATTTGTCATTGGTTTGAGTTTTATTTTAATGTGTAATTTCTTATATATTCATGATTATATACTATATAGGCTAATATGATTAATCTAATACATTACAAGTTTTTTTGTAAATTAAAATCTATTTTTAGAAAAATAATAACTTTAACCTGTCTTATAATAAATTAACGTACACTCACTTTTCGAAGAATTTGTGTTTTCTCTGGATAAATTGGTTAAACTATTGCATCAACTTAAAAAAAAAAAAATTAAAAAAAAATATAAAATATTGGAGTACAAAATTTAGTGCGATAATAATATGCCAATTGGGACAAAAGAGTATAAATGCTGAGAAAACTCGAAGACTCCCATGTCGATTGTCGCAGACATCCATGTAAATTAGCAGCCTCAACAATGGCGGTGCTTAAAATACTGACTTTGCTTGCGTTAATTTCTCTGTTATTTTCAACAATCCACGCCAAATCCAACAACACTGCTAATTTCCAATGGCAGATTCTCTCTTCCAAGAATTTTTCTTCTCAGATTCGTCTTCATCCTCATATTCTCCTCTTTATCACCGTCCCTTGTATGTTATCTTTCTATCTCTTTAATCTCTCGAATTTGTCAATTGTTCGATTAATTGTAGCTATTTTTGAATTTAATTTATGTTGCGATTTGAATTCAATGAATTGGGCGAAATTTAAATGTTAAATGGTTGTTTTTATTGGTTTATGGTGTGAGTTGACAGTTAGGAATTATTTTAGGTCAAAATAGAAGGACAAATGTAGTTTTATGTTGTGAATTTTGAAACTAATTCGGAGTAATATTTTAGGAAGATTTTTTTTTTTTTTTTTTTGAATAGTTTAGGAAGATTTATTTAATGCTTATAGTTAGCTCGTATTGCCGTGTACATCGAATCCGATTATAATGATGAAAGCAATTGTCCAAGTGAAAGAGAATGTGCAATTTGATAAGCTGGTAGAGTTTAATTTTCCTAAATTAAGAGTTGGAATAAGTAGTAAAGCAGTTAACAGTAGTTTAGGACTTTAGGTGTCCAACAAGCAGTTCTTATTTATGAAATCATAAGAAGACATGTATGAAACCTTGCACATTTATGTTCATATTTTTACAGAAGATTATATTGACATTTGATGTACCCTAGCATTTTGCATTATGCCTTTTTATTACTACAATCTGGTATATTTGAACTGATTACCTAAATTCAAATCTAGTTGATCAAACCCATTGTTTCTACTTAATATTCTTAGATCTTTACCGCCTCGTGTTAAGCTGTTGAGTGAAGTTTAAAACCCGTGTTTATATATGTGTCAGTTTCCTTTCTCTTCTGAGAATTATGGCACATCGCTCAGATAGTGGCACAACATGCCAACATTGGAAAAAACATTACCTTAATAATATGTTTTTTTGTGGGAGCTTTAAAGTATATATATCCTTTTTTAGTGATATGAAGTAAGATGTAAAGGCCAAACTAGAAACAAATTGTTAAATTCTCTATTTTCGGACAATGCTTCTAACAATCAAAGCATCGCTTGATTCTTTGTTTAGCCCTATCGTTTTGTATTCCTTAATTTCATCTTTCCTTTTAGGATCCCATAGATTGTTTCTAAGAAGTCAGAGAGGCTTTTAAAATCCTTTTTTCAGTTAAGATTGTGGGAAAGTGAAGAGGGACCATCTAGTGGTTTGAATTCTAGTTTGTCGACTAGTAGTCCAAAATACGAACGAGAGTAGCTACTTGCCGACCTCTTTGGATTAAGATGTCTCGAAAAACCCCTTGGTGGTAAAGTGGTGGTGTCATGAGAATTTCTCCTCAAATCTGAATCCTTATTTTGTGTGGACTCTTACTATTCCACCATGGTAATTAAGTTATTATTCCCTCATCTTTACCACTTTTAAACATCAACTGATGCAAAAACTATAGGATTTCTAGTTAGAAATTAATGCTCTCATGTATCCTCTTTCGAAGAAGTCAAGGCTCATGAGTAGGAAATAGGTGACTAGGTGGGGATAAACAATACTTCCTCCGTTCTTTTTTACTTGACCTGTTTCATTTATCATGCTTGCCAATGAAGAACTTTCACCTTTAGTTCTCCTTAGGTAAAATTATTAAAGTTATATATTATAATAGCACTTATTGAGACGAATCTAACAAGATCCCACATGAATATGTTTTTCCTTACATATTGTGCCTTTGTTTTGCTGCCAGCAAAATTAAAAATTAAAAATGGAAATCATACATGTAGGTACTTTTGTATTAAAAAGGAGAGAGATCGAGAGTAAGAGATTTATTAAATATTAGTGGGCTCCACAAAGTGGGGTTGTGGATGATAAAAAGCGAATAAAAAATTGTCATAAAAGGAATAAAGTAAAAGTGAGTAGAACTTAGAAAAGCGGATGAAAACGGAAAGTGAGTAAGTCTTAGGAAAATGGAGGTAGTAATTCACAAAAGATGGTCAAAGGACTCAAAGGAAGGGTGATGAATAGTGTAAAAGTTAAAGCAGATTATGTAAAAATGAACGTAGGATTTTAAACATTTTGGAATGGTACAAATTATAACTTAGAATCAATGCAAATAATACCATGGTGATTTTAAGTAAAAGTTATTAGGAAAATAGAATATTTGCATTGATTTGGAAAGGTGAAACTCTATAGGTTGTTCTCTTATCGCTTTTGCTTCTTTCAACTTTTCAAGCGAACCTTCCCATTATGCATCATTGAAGGTAAGGTACTTTGAGGCCCAAGAGGCCTTAACGGTGAACCTCAATTTTGACTAAACTTTCACAACTCATTCATGGCAAAGTTAAAACTTGCGATTAGATCGTGGCGAAGCTTGGTGTGTAAGCAATCTAGCATTCTATCTTTGTGGGCATTGGTGTAAACTTTTTCCATTTTTATTTACCACTTCTGTCCCTAAATAAAAGTCCCATTTCAACCAAAAATCTAGTCCCTAAATAAAAGATCAATATCATCTAAATCTATTTACTCATTCACTTTTCATCAGCCAAACCCTTTATCTTCCTTTTTTTATTCATTTTTTAACAACCAAACTCCACAATTTTGTTTTTGTATATTCACCTTTGATCAACCAAATATATGTCTTGTTATTATTCACCTTCCTAAAAACTTATGCAATGGGCAAGTGGAAGCTTTATTTTGGGGTGGAGGGAGTAAAAGAAAAGAAAGGTTTTAGAAAAAATAGAGCAAAAAATTATCAGCTGTGCTTATAAAAGATTCTAGCAAGATATGAAATCGATGTGTTATGAATAATTGTCCATTTTTATTTTTGTGGAGAAAACAAGCCCATTTTTCACTCTAGGGCTTGATGCTAGGCTGTTAGCTGTAAAAGAATATAGATTATCTAGTCAATGCATCATCATTCTTTATGTCTGATAGTCACCCTTCTGATGTTTGTGTAAATACTGTGTGCATTTGGTTCTGTGTTGTTTTTGCATTTCTGTTAATTTTTTTTTGGGCTTGGAGATTATTTATTCTTTTACTTTCTGAAAGCTTATGTAATTGAATAGATTTCTGTATACACTGTCAAATTATTTGTTTTTTTCACATAGGGTGTGGAGAGTCTCGTTCTTTGATGAATGAGGTATCTCAGAAATTGTCTAAAGAACAAGAGACGTATTGCTCCTTGAAGCTGATGCTCATATACCGCAATCTTGAAAAGACACTGGCTGATTCTCTTGGTGCTGCAGAGGGAATTACAGTTCTCTGTTATCATCATGGCATGTCTTTTAAGTATCAGGGAATCAACAGAGAACGAGATATATTATCCTCTGTCTTTTATATAATGTCACTTGCCACTGAAGACCTTCCTCTTAAGAGAATTGGCAATTCCAAGGACATGGAAATGTTTCTTGCATCAACCGATAAGGCTATAATCCTCTTAGAATCTTGCGGATGGACCTCAAAGTTGCTTGTGGATCAGACTGGCAATGGAACTGTGCAAGGTATGTCAAACAATCATGATTTTTTGCTCCTTTTCTGTTTCTGCGCTTCTGTACTCCTGTAGCATATCATTTTCAAACTAAACACAGTTGTGATGGCTCCACCATATATGGTAGGCTAGTTGGTGGATTTTCCAAATAAAAGAGAGGCTGCGAGAATTTGTGTGAGCTTGATGCAATTGTTTTATCCTATTCTTTCCTGTTATATTTTCTTGCTTTTGTGTTTTTATTTGCATTTATCTATGTCTTAAGTTGTGAAGCTTTGAGATCAAGCAATTCTAGTTGCCTCATACTATATATGATTCTATATTCGTTATATTGTTGTAAGTTTAAAGTTTTTTTTTTGGTAAAATCAATCAATTCGAATAGGTTCTTGATAAAAATAAGACTTTGAAGGAGTATTACCTAATTTAGTTGGTGTTATTTCCTGACTTCATAATTTATTAATCCTTTGTTGATGAAATCTAATTCTGGTACTGATAAATTACATTGTTCCTAGTTTTTAATTTGGCCATTGTAACTAGATTTTTAATTTAATACCTCCGTTTCATATTATGTGCAGCAAAGGCATTGACACGGACTCCTAAACAAAATTTGTTTGTGAGTGTTAAATGGAGAGAGAAAGATAGAGACACATGTGATGAGGAGAGAGATACATAGAAATGATAACTTAAAAAGGAAATAGAACATTTGTTGCACATAATGTGTAGTATCCATTTATAATAAATGTTGCACATAATATGAAACAGAGGTAGTATTTATTTAGTTACTCCTTCTATCCCAAATTAAATTTTACACCTTCCTTTCTCAATTGTCCCAAATTATTGTTACACTTCTAACTTTTGAAAGACACCACTATGGCACTATTATTTAAATACATCTCATCTCCACTATCAAAAGTTACGGTCCCATACTATCTCACATTCAATTAAATAAAATACTATTTCATATAATTTTTACCTTTTCAAAGATATAGTACCCCACTATTGCCTTTCAAATCTACATTTTAAATAACAAAACGATTGATAACCAAACAACTTATCACTTAGAATACGTGCCATAATAATTGTCAAAACTAATGTGGGCCGGAGGGAGTACTTAATACAATAAACTGATTTAATACTTAATCTTAGCTATTATAGCATGTTTGAGTTAAAAAACTCAGAAAGTGTAACTGAGAAAAGTCAAATTGTAAGAAATTGATCTCTCCAACAATGGAGAGATTTGGAAAGAAAACTCATCATTCTTCCCTCCCCTTCCTCTCCCTCCCCTCCCCTTCTTTTCATTATTCTTTCTTTATCCAAACGCACTATTAAGCTGCTAAGTACTAAGGTGAACTCGTTATTGAACCTGGAATGACCTTTTGTGTTGAGATGTTTACTGTAGGTCTGGAGTTATTCCCCCTCCTCTTAGGGGTTGGGAGGAGGATTGTGGTGATGTGATGTAGGGTTAATTGGGATCAATGTATAAGAAACTGCAAGGCGCACTAAGGCAATAGGGGTCTTGATGCGCAAGGTGCACCTCAACGAAGTGAGGCACACTCAATGAAATACTGAGTAAAAATTGAAGTTGTGTCTCTTTAAATGTGTTTCCTAGCTCAAAAAATCGTTGAAAACCCCATGCGTAGCGCCTAGGAGTGTATAAAAAAGTGTGTCTAGGTGTTGAGGCACTAGGAGAATGGGGCAGAGCACTTTTATTGCTCAAGGAGAGGTGCATTCAAAGAGGCACACTTGAGGCGCATGATGCATAAGATTTGCACAAGGCACACATGAGGCATATCTGAACTGTGCTTCAAGGAGGCGCACCTAGGTATAGTGCTTTGAGATTTTTAATACATTGGCACTAAGGTAAACCTTAGGCACGCTATTTATACTTTGATTGGGATGGTGGGTGGTTTTTAGCTGAAGGGTCTATTTTTGGGCTGAATCTTTACCCAGCAAGTAATTAAATCTTGCCCACTTCCTCACATTGCTACCGCATTGTAAAAATGTTTGAGCTTAATGTGACAGTGTTATTAGGTTGCAATACCAAAAACCATCCACATTGCCCACAAAAGTGGTTCCATGACTGTTATTGTGATAGGCTGAAAGGTTTCGATCATGAAATTATGGCTAAAATCTTACTTTAATAGGTTGCTATTTGCTTTTGTTTTTTTCCCTTCAGAATTGGCGAGGTTGAAACCATTGTTTCTTTTCATTTTTCGTTAGCAGGCAACTTGTCTAGCTGTGTTTATTTTGTGACAAGTGAGTTGGTGTGTGAGAGACAGAGAAATCATAATTGTTATGGTATGCTATGGCAATTACATCAGTACAATATCCTTATGTTTTTGTGTGAGCATCGGTAGTGATTGAGGATTATAAACTTGTTTAGTCGGTTTCATATTACATAGTTTAGTAAGGAACATCCAGCATTATTCTATAGGTTTGATAGATGCTTTGAATGTGGGAGAGCATGCATAATTTTGCAAGGTTAAGGCATTGTTTTTTTGGGTACAAACATATTTTATAGATGATCATCCTTCTCTGGCTGAGATTAACTGTAGACATTGTAGAATCAATTCTTATTTGCATGTGTATATATGCACGGGAGATAAACATGTTATATTGCTTTAGGTCGGCCAAATTGATTAGTGGCATTTGATCTTATGAATAAGGCTTCCTGGTATACCGATCATACCTATCGTACAGGGTGGAGCACATTCACAGATGTGTACATACTACAGAGAATACTGGTTTATGTTCTGCAGTTGTTAGTGTGATTACACTACAGAGTTGTGGTTCTTAAATTTCGCTCTAGTCTCAGGAGTCATGCAAAGGGAAGCACAATTGATGGTGGCTAGGAAAATAGTTAATGTTGCGGAAGGAGATGATGAATTCTTCATGGATGAAAATCTGGTGGGTAGGTTTATAAATAATGAGATCCTTATGTGTAAAGTGTAATGTACTAAACTGGTTCAGATCTTAAAAACATATTAATATGCAGAAGATGGGAAACAAGATTAATTTTAGGCTATGAAAGGGAGGAAATTATTGAAGATGGAGAGAGATTTTTATTTGTATTAAAGTTAACCCTAGAAGAATAACAACTTCTCTGCTTTTGAGTGGCCGGGTCACTCCCAAGACAATGAACTGTCACAAAAAATTTATCATATCTGTTATTTATATCCTAGCTTACTTTCTCTCTCATGTAACCAACACTTCACTCGTTATTTGGTTCTTCTAACAATTTCAAGTGCCAAGGTAGTTTATCCATAGTATCCTTCCACAATGACACATGTACACTTGCTTAATTGGGTGTCTGGGTGGGTTTTTACAGATAAGTTTAGATGTTAATCATCTATATTTGACTGTATTGTTTTAAAATTGAATCGGCCATAGATTGTTATGATGTGATTGAATCGGCCATAGATTGTTATGATGTGATTCTAGATCATTTGGCCTCCTAAAGTTGGAGGATGGCAATTAAATAAATTGTTGAAGCTTCATTTTGTGGCTAAAGGATCAAGGTTTAATATACCTTTTTTTTTCTGCTTTCTGATATGTTTTCTTACATAAAAAGTAAGTCGTGAACATGAGGTTATGTTGATGTCACCAAAAGACGCATGATAACTAAATTAAAAGGAAAGCATGGACATTTTTATAAACCTCTTCTTCCTTGTATAGGAAAAAAATGTGTTCTCTTATTATCTTTGTATGTGTATATCTGAAGAAAGGCTTTATGAGTTCATCTTAGAAAGCCCATCCTTACACAACACCATCTATATAGAGTATAGGAGTATTTTATGGTATTGATATGTGATGTGGAATATAATATATGATTGCTCAGTGACACCTTAGAAAACCTATTTTTGCAGGTAGTCACTTTCCAGGGGATTTAAATAGAGAAACTGATCAAACCCTGGTATCTGGAAGTCAGAAAAACCTTAAGGTGACTTGTGGTTTTGTGATGACTTGTTATAATGACATTTACGTGAAACTTAATGTTTATCATAGCAATTAACCATTAGGTTTTTTAACTCCCTCTCTTAACAGGATGGAGAAAATGATACGAACTGTGATGTTCAACATGTTTGTGGTGAAAGTCCCTGGGTTGGAGAATACAGTGCTGAAAATAGGACAGCTTCTACTGACGAGGATATGCAGCCTACGTCTGGAACATCCTGCAGTTTCAAAGAATTCAGTAAATTTAAGTCGTTCTTCTCAAAGTTCATGATATTGGCAAGAGATATGTATCTTCCTCCTCAAAGACAAAGATATGGCTTTGTATCAGATAGGTCATTGCTTTCGACTCTTGGTGCTGAAGATTTTGATCAATGGTCGGTGATCATATCCTATGCTGGATGTCTTAGTTGCTTAAGGAAATTTAAAGATGAAATACATCTTCAAAAGGCTCTTGAGATGCATGATCTGCCAGTACTGGAGGTAAGTCCATACATTGGATCATCAACTTATTGGAATGTTCATGCTGTACCTCTTCTCTCTATGCATTTGAACAGTTGATTTGCTGCTTGGACGTTTTTCACAATTTTGAATCCTTATTATACATATACAATTATAAAAGAAGTATTGTTGATTTGTTATTTGCTATTCTTTGAACTATATTTGATTAATCTAGCAGAGCTTTAAGTGCAGTAGGGCTCCCTCTGTCCTCCGTCAAACATCCCGTTTCTCATAAAGTGCATGTCTGTCAATAAACTTCCTATATCCCCAGTATACCTTCCCGCTTTTTCCAACCAGCTCTCCTTTAAAACATGAAAATATACTCATTATCTTATTTCAATTTCACCTTAAATAAAAAAAAAAACAAAAGAAAAGAATAAACTCTAATTTGTTTCACCTTTTTTCAACAAAATCCTCCCCTATCAACTTGGTGCCCCCTTGATGCTTTTTATATATTGATTTAACAATAATCTGGTTATAAACAAAGAAATACTGAAGAAGCAAAGATTTGGATCTAGTTCATACTTTATACGCTTTGGTAGTTATGATGGATGTTGCACTCTCTAATAATCGATTAGGTTTGGAATATATGAGTAATTATTTTGGATCAAAGCTTTCACTAAATTGAAAGCTTTATTTATCTTTGTAGGGAGCTTTTCCACTTACCATATTGATGTGCATATTAACCTTCTAGGTGCAATTTTAGGGAAATTTTTAGCAGTTTTTGGACCTGGATATGGGTAACATACTCTGGTATGGATCTGACCAGGAATTAAGTTTTTTTAATATGAAAATGCTTGGACATAGTTAATAACCATCTAATTTATGATTAGGATATTGGGGTACTATCAATGCATATGTTTTCCATCATTAATTTTGAGTTAAAAAGAAGTCTACTATATCGTTCATCTATTTATTACTCAGACTCTTCATTTCACCTCAAAGTACCCGTGTCGGACCATTGACATTTGGACATGGGAAGCACACTTAGACACTTCATTTTAGTTTTAAATCATGCTAAATGTTTCGCAAAAAGACACTCGGACACATACCAGTGTCAAGTCCATGTAACATAAACATTTATTTAAAAAAAAGGAAGTTAAGGTATGAAGGAACGGAAGGATCAAGGGGCATTTGGTCGGGCAGTTGGGGATGTCAATTATAGAAAAAGATATATATGTATGCAAAGCATAGGATTGGTGTGCAATTTTTTAATTGAATATGCATATTTTTCTTAGTAAATGTGCATATTTTGATTTTTTAAGCTGATTTTATATTACAAATTTCTGGAAATGGGAAAAAAATCCACATTGTGTATAAAACAACAACAACAACAACAAAGCCTTAGTCCCAAAATGAAATATTGGGGTCGGCTAACATGAATCGTCATAAGGAATTGCACAATATAGAAAAACGGACATAACAAAACCATCATTTAAAAGAGTTTGAAAAAAGGTTAGTAAAAAAAGTGAGTAAACGAAATAGCATTACGAAAAATTAAAAGAGTTTTCAAAGAAAATCAAGAATAAAATTCAAGATAGTTTTATAATAGTGGTTAAAACGTTCATGTTGAAAACAAAAAAAAAATTTAAACATTAGTGTGCCAAAAAAAAATTAGTGTGCCAAAAAAAAAAATTAAAACGAAAATAAGATTAAAAAGTATATATAATCAATTCACGTCGTTGACGTAAGTTTTCTCCCTCCACACTGCCCTATCAAACATCATATTCTCCTCAATTCCCAAAGCACTCATGTCACTCTTAATCACCCTCTTCCGAATTTTCTTAGGTCTTCCCCTACCTCTCGCGATCCCAACACTTTGCAATTCTTCAAGCCTCCTTACCGGAGCGTCACTTGGCCTCCTTTTTACATGGCCAAACCATCTTAAGCGATTCTCCCTCATCTTGTACTCAATCGATACAATCCCTACTTTCTTCCTTATTATCTCATTCCTTAACCAATCCTATAATTGTGTATGAGTAAAAAAAATAAAAAAATTGCACATATGCTTTAAAAAAAATAGTGCACCACCCTATAAGACCACTATTAATGCCACCAATACCATTGTTTCACTCACCAACCCGTACTACTTAACTCTACACTCAGTTATCTCCATCATAGGCATGGCAACCCACCAAGTTCTGTCCACTGGTAATGGTTGAAGTAGATTTCCCAATTGGAAATTTAAAGGCCGAATTGAACCATATACTAGTGAATTGAATTGTGATGATAAAGAAATTGTGAAGAGAAAATGATTAACAGCATCAAAGATGGTGATGGTTGTTGCCTTGAATGGGGGAAGCTATGTCTATAGAGTATACGAGATAAACAAATCGTTAGGGTAGTGACTAATGATCTTGGAGGTGACTTGGGAAATGATTGATATCATAGCTAAGGAGGTTTTTATGGGTTTTAATTTCTAGTGAACAAATACCATATAGGAACATCAAAATCCTATCCCATCACAACCAAAAAAAACGATGACCAAAGGGTTTTGATTTTTTTCATTCAGTTTTATCTTTCCCAATTCTATACTTTTCCCTTACTTGAACCTTTCCTTATAATTGATGTTAGATACTACAGGCCACCTCTGTTCCTCTGATTGTCGAACATTAGTTGTCCTATGATAACAAGTAGAGGTTACAATCGATTGTTTAGCTTAGGTTCTGATCGAGTTCATTCAGGTTGGTAATGAGTATATTGAGTTGGGTACGGATTGAATTGATTTTATGTCTGTTTCCAATTTGAGCCTCATATTATTTCGGGTCTATCTGAGTCGGATCAAACTTAATATTAAATCAGTTTCCATGTTTTTCTTCTATTGTCAAATTCTCTTCATATGCATGTCAAATTGGTCCTAACAACTAGAAACACCACTCCTTTTATAGCATTCAATGACTGCTACTGACCTGTTTTGTAGCTTATCAACTGACTAATACTTGAAGGTCATCTTTCTTGTTGGGTTTTGTTTGATTTGTTTTATTATAATATGCAGCTGCCAGATGATGGAAAAGGCCTTAGACCTGCTCTCCCTGTTGATAAACCATCAGTTGTACTTTTTGTAGACAGAACATCAGACTCTGTAGAAACTAGAGAAAGTAGTCAGAAAGCTCTTCGTTTGTTCAAAGAACTTGCGTTACAGTATTGGAAATCACATCCGACTGATTGGCAAAGTATTGATCCAACAAAAGGATCACTTCACACTTATCAAGATTCAACCAGCGTGTTTAAGAATCATAGGTTTCTGGTATCACCTTCATCTCAGATAAAATTGGATGATAAAATGTCTATAATGATAATAGATGAAGGACAACAGGTTACCTTTGGTAATGAGGCCTCGCAAAGTGGCTCTTTACATGAGATCTTGACATATTTGGTTGGACAGAGAAAGCAAGCGAAATTAAACACACTTGCAAAAGAAGCAGGTTTTCAACTGCTTTCTGATGAAATAGACATAAAGATAGCAAATGTGTTACCTTCTCTGGAAGGTCAGGATCAGGATTCATCCATCAAGTCAGATGTTGCCTCTGAGGAAAGTATCAATGACAAAATTAAGGATTCTACTGATGAAGTTGCACCCCTTGCAGATCAGGAGCAACTATATCAACCTATTAATGTTGAAGCTTCATCTGAGTACAGTAACCAGCAAGTATCCATTGATTCTGCAATTAAAGAGTCTGGAATTGGGGATCCCCATCAGTCTCCTAATGATCAGAAACTTGGATCTGGCCAAGATGTAGATTTAGATATTCAACCTAATGCAGAAAACACAGAAATTTCAGGTCTTAGGCGTCATTTAAGTGCCTTTACTGGTTCGTTTTTCTTTAGTGATGGTAACTACAAATTTCTCAGATCTCTTACTCAAGACTCACAAGTTCCAAGAATAGTGATCATTGATCCGTTGTCCCAGCAACATTATGTCTTATCTGAAGAAGCAAATTATGATATTGTATCTCTATCAACATTTATAAAAGAGTTTCTAAATGGTAGCCTTACTCCATTTCAACGCAGTGGACCTTTGCGAAAATCTGTTGAAATGCCACAGCCTCCATTTGTCAATCTTGATTTTCGTGAAAAGGATTCCATCCCTGTTGTTACAGCTGATACTTTTTCTGAGTTAGTTCTTGGTTCTGGTGAGTCCAATGCTCAAGATGCACTCAATGCATGGCATAAAGATGTGGTAGTGCTTTTCAGCAGTAGCTGGTGTGGAATTTGTCAGAGAATGGAATTAATTGTTCGTGAAGTTTACTGGGCCTTGAAAAGCTACGTAAACATGGTTGAGTCTGAAACAAAAGGCAAAAGGCTTTTTTCTCAAGGCAGGTATCTTCCTTTCCATATATGTAATTGCTAAAGTCTCTTAATTTTTTGTTTGCCTCGAAATAATCTACAGAGTATGCATTTTAAATATTGTCCAGATTTCCTTATATACTTTCCAATCCCCAACTTGCTCCATCCTATGCCTAAAGAGAGTGAAAAGATGTAATCCTAACTGATGCATGGTCAGTTTTATTCAGAAGAACTAAAACTGGGTGGATGTATAAAATGTAAAAACAACTATGCAGGTGTCTGATATTGCAGAATTTGAAATTGTTGGAATAAGAAGGTTTTTCATGGTGACAAATGAATAAGAAGATATTCAAGGGGGTATACTGTGACCTACTAAAAGAGTAAAAGATAAAATTTGTAAATAGGATTCATCATCTTCTTATATATATATATATATATATATATATATATATATATATATATATATATATATATGTGAGAACCCTTTCTTATGTGAGAATACTTTTTATGTTCTAAATTTTAACTCTGGTGTTCTAAATTAAATCAGATACTCTAAATTTTTACTCACATGATCTAAACCTTAAATTAGTTAAAATCAGATGTTATAAACCTTAAATAAGTTGTTCAAAAACTTTAACTTATATGTGATAAATTTTAAATCATGTGTTCTAAGATTTTTAATCATATGTTCTAGATTTTGAAGCATGTATTCTAAATTTGGGGAGAGATCCGGTGAGAATAGGTCCATATATGAGAACTCATACTCATATGAGAACTAATCTAAAATTTAGAACATGGGAGTAAAAATTTAGAACATATGAGTAAATATCTAGAGCATGTGACTCAAATTAAAACTTAGAACATATGAGTAATAATTTAGAACATATGTGTAAGTAATAATTTAGAACATCTAATTTAAGAATTAGAACATGTGATTAAAAATTTAGATAATCTGATTTATAAAATTTAGAACATATGATTAAACTTTAGAACATCTAAGTTAAAATTTAGAATATGTGAATAAAATTTCAAAATATCTAATATTAAATAGGAAAAATACACTTTAATAATCCCAACTATGGACGATTTATTTCTAATAATCCCAACAAAGGTTTATTATCTAATAATCCCAACTATGCTATGTGTTTACCTCCAATGGTCCCAACCAGTCAACAACTTGTTATAATAGGTTACCAGACATGTGTTAACACGTGATTCGTCCAAAATAAAAAAAATAACAAAAAAAATACCCAAAATTCCCAATTTCCCAGCCACCCTTTCCCCACCCTAACCCCACCCTAACCTCGTTGGAAACCGGTCGGCCACCCCCCTTAACCACCGAAACCGGCCGGTTGGCCTTCTACACCCCCTTTGACCCAGCCTGACCCCGAAACTACCTCCAAGCCAACCCCGACTCCAAAAACAGATCTTCAAGAACCCTAAAAGCTTTCTATGAACAAAAACAATGGCAGTCAACAACGACCCATGGTTAGCGGCGAGGAGAGAGAAAGGGTGCGAGATGAGAGAGAAAGCGAGGACAACGCCGACATTTTTGCGGATGCGAGAGAAAGCGTCGGAGAGATTCTCAGGGCGAGCGAAGGCGGTGCGATTGAGGAGTTCGTACTATGGTCGGCGTTGTAAGGGTGAGAGAAGGGGGTGCGATCGAGGAATAATGGAGAGATTCCAGGCGAGTGAAGGCATTGCGCGAAGGTTTGGCGAAGGTGGTGGTTAAGAAGGAGATGAAGCTCCGGAAAGCAGGGGTTGTAATGGAGGTGGTGTTGTCGGCGTTGATGGCTGTTGGGTGGTCATTGGGAGTGTTGCCGGCGACGACATTGTTTGCCGGCAGGTGAAGGGAGGACTAAGGAGGTGGAGATTGTTTCGTTAAAGGGTGGATTGTTTTTTTTTTTCAAATTTTTTTTATGTTTTTTTATTTTTTTGGTAATTTTAGACCAATCACGTGTTGACATGTGGTAATTAAAACCTAAAAAAAAAAAAACTCTTTCAGCAGGTTATCAGTCATTAGGACCATTAGAGGCAAACACATAGCATAGTTGGGATTATTAGATAATAAACTTTAGTTGGGATTATTAGAAGTAAATCGCCCATATTTGGGATTATTAAAGTGTATTTTTCCTATAAAATATAGAACATGTGAGTAAAAACTTTGAACGTACGAGAAAATATTAAACCATAGAATATAACATTTTGAAGGGGAAGGCTCTCCTAGAACCCCTCCTTTATGTGAGAACCTTTACTTATGTGAGAACACTCTTTATGATCTAAATTAAATCAGATGCTCTAAATTAGTACTCACATGTTCTAAACCACAAATTAGTTAAGTAAAAATCAATCAATAAAAGCCTTAATCCCATAAGTGGGGTTGGCTACATGAACCAAATTTGATTATTCTGTGTAGTTATCAACAAAAATCTTCCTCTTCCATCCCTTACGATCCAATGCCTCATCCTCATTCAAATACATTTACTTCATATCCTTCTTAACTCCTTCCAACTAAGTCATTTTTAGTCTCCCTCTCCTTCAGTTAATCCCTCCATGGTCCCACTTTTCCACTCTTTGTACTTCGGGTCTCCGTTTTACATGCCCAAACCAACGCAGACGATTTTCCCTTAGTTTGTCTGCAATGCCTGCCGCACCTATTTTCTTTTGAATAACCTCGTTTCTGATTCTATCTCTTAGAGTGTTCCCGCACATCCACCTTAACATGCGCATTTCCGTAACCTCTATCTTTTTACTGTGCTCCTTCATAGAAGCCCAACATTCTGTAACATAGAGCAACACTGATTTTATGGCAGTCATGTATATTTTCCCTTCAATTGTAAGGGAATGCTTCGTTCACATTATACTCTCGTGACCGCTCTCCATTTTAACTTGTTGCAAAATTTTAACTTATCGTTTTAAATTTTAAAACGTGTGCTCTAAGATTTTTAATCATATGTTCTAGATTTTTAAGCATATGTTTTAATTTTTATTTGTATGTTCTAAATTTTTACTTAAATTTTCTATATTTTATACCAGGTGTTCTAATTTTTATTCACATGTTCTAAATCTTAAATAAGATGTTCTAATTTTTACTCGTATATTCTAAATTTCATAAAGCAGATTTTCTAAATATTTACTCACATGTCCTAATTTATTACTCACACAGATGTTCTAAATTATTACTCATATGTTCTAAATTTTAATTTAAGTCACATGTTCTAAATTTTAGACCAGTTCTCATATAAGTATGGGTTCTCACATATGGACCTATTCTCACCGGATTCCTCCCCATAATATATATATATATATATACACACACCATTCCTCTCCAACCAAATGCTCCTCGGGATTACCGTCACTGGATTTCTCCAAAGAATTTTTATCTCCTTTGCCCCACCAAACCCTATAAACTGAATCTGTAGTCTTGTATATTTGGACAGATCCAACGTTCTTTATTCTCCAGAAAGAGTCATGATTGCATTTCTTGTTGATGGGCTCCTTCCACACTTGTCATTGTCAAAGTCTGTTCACTCTGCTGTATGTTTTAATTCCCTGAGAATAAATCTTTTTGGCAGACCTAATTGGTTTCACCATGTACAATACACAATGTTTTTTGAAACTCACCATGTATCCTCAACAATTTAAGTAAATCTTTCATTTAAAATCTGACAGCGTGTTGATTTTGTTAACCTGCCCTAAGTCTGTTCCTCAATTTCTCTCTATTAACCTGGTGAAGGTTTTCTTCTCCCACTCTTCTTTAGTTCATGTGGTAAAAGTTTTAAGACATATAAGTATTTTTTGTGATGTATATATAAGAAAAAACATTACCATGTGATATCTTGTTAGATTTCTCTCATTGTGTAGTTTCAATCTATCAACATTTTATAATTTTAATTAGTACACAACTAAAGATATCAATGGTCAAAGACGTGCAGAATCAAATTAGTAGGGAGTAAAAAGGAAAATTTAACTCTAATAATCCCACTTTTGGATGGTCTTCTTAGACCAGTCCCAACTTGTAAAAGAGCTGTCGTCTTAAAATGGTCAATCACCTATTGTTTGGCAGCATAACAAGTGTGACTCTTGTTTCTTTCTAATTGTATAGATTTTTTTATTTTTTTTTTGAATTTAATTAATATTATCATCCCCCTCTGTCTCCTCTCCTGTCCACATCACCTTACTCTCTCCTCTCCCCTACACAGCCCCAATTCCCTGCTCAAATGGGAGCTGTGTTCAGCCCCACTCTTCACCGTGCCCCAGAGTCCAAGACCCCTGACAGGTGGACACCACAACCACCACATCCTTCTGCACAACCCACATATCACCACATCAACATCACCCCTGCCAAGGAATGACCAATCTTATTCCAAGAAGACAATGAGAAGGGCAGTGAGGAAAAAAAAATCCCCTGATCTTCATGGCCATTGATTGTAGAAACAGGCAAGATTTACTACCAAATTGATTATTAGAGAGAATGATACAGTAATTTCTTTATGACTCACAACTTCCCTCACGCTCCCTCTATGGTATAATTTGGGAAATCATTCTTTTTAGTTTGATTATTTGGTTGAAATTTGTTATTTTTCTGTACCATTGATGTTTTCAATTATTGATCTATGATCTCTTGGGTCTATAAATTTAATTTATGGCTTCTTGTTTTTTATAAATTTAGTTTGCTGCTTCTTTTGTTGTTGTTTGAGCTGATGCCTTTCAAAAAGGGAGATGAATGATGGTATGTGTGGATATGGAAAGCAAGAAAAGAGGAAAAAAAAAATTGGAGTGTTAGTCCATAGGGTACTGAATGAGGGGAGAGAGATCAAAGAGGGAGGTGGGGAGGCTGGAGGGAGTTTTGTAAATAAGCATAATGTTACATCTGGTAACTGGTGAAATGGTTCAATTTAACAAGGTTTCACAAAAAGTTGGGATTACTTCCAGTTTTTTAAGAGTGGAGACCGTTTTATGAAGATTTTCTAAAGGTGGGATTATTTTTTCCCCAAGAAAATAAAGGGGGTAATCAAATGTCTTACTAAGTGTTATTGTGCCAAATCCTCGGGTATGCATGCAAAATTTTAAAAACTTGGTGAATTCTTAAAACGTTTAGGGAACATGGTGAATTTCAATAAGCCTTGGTGTGCACATGATGAAAATCTCCTTTTACTCTCTGTTTGTAAAGACTTTTATAAATGTCTAAATAACTTTTTCAGCACATCTTGTAGGAGAGAGAATGATATTATTATGTTAATGTGGCGCAGATAACTTGAAGGATGATGTTTCAAAGATGCTTGTATTTTATTCGATTGATTGCATGGTGAATGAATGCAGTTGGATCCTGAAATCAATGGGTCAAGTAAGTCCCATCATTTATATAGTTATATTATGCACTAACAAAATTTAGCTTTTTATATTTCCAACTTCCTCTTTTCTGGCAAAAAAGGAAAGAAAAGAAAAGAGAAAGGAACTTTATATTGGAATTGACATATTTTGTGTGAAAATTGCAGAAGGAAGTTTATCCTAGTTTGCTGCTATTTCCAGCAGAGAGGAAGACTGCTATCGTCTATGATGGAAATATGATGGTTACAGACATTATAAAATTTATAGCCAACCATGGGAGTCGTTCTGACCATCTTGCCAGACAGAAAGGTATACATAGATATTCGCAAATGGATACCTCCAACACCCCCCTCCCCCCAAATGACTCCTGTGTACCTAACCCTGATTTTCACTTTTGTTTGGTTATATGACTTGTGTATCGATCTTTTTTTGCTCTTGCCGCTAATTTTACTTTATCTTATTGACATCAATAAATATTATTACATGCTACCATGGGATTCACACGTTTGGAATCTGTCTCTAACAGTGGTGTCTATGAAATTAATACGGAGTATGTTTTATATAACCTTAGTCCTTAGCTGAAGCACTGTTAAAAGTCCGTGTATAGTTAAGAAATTTCAGAATACTTGTTTGCAGCGAAGTAAACATTAATAGTTTTGACGCTAGTTCTACTTTACCATTATTACCGACCTGCGGATATTTACTTCATTTCACCTTTGCTCGCTTGAGTTTATTCCTTTGATGTCAGTATGTGGCTACGATTTGAGTATGTGTTAATGTTTGTTAATCTAGTGTTGAATAGGTGATGTTTGGATATTGAATAAGTCGGAACTTTTGATTGCAATCAGTAATTACTAATTAGTATGTTAGTATTTGACTACAATATATTTGGAGATGTTTAAGATTTTTGTTAGTGTTACAACTACAATTATAACACTGACCATGATTTTTGGATTTTTGCTATGCTCTTTCCTATTTGGATGGTTCCTTATGATGATTCAGTTAGCCAACCCCAAATCATCTTGGGACTAAGCCTTTGTTGTTGTTGCTGTTTACAACTACAATTATAGGGCTCTTCATCATAGTAATTTGATATAACTACTAAAATCCACTATGGAGTATATAAGCTTCAAAACCAAAACATGTGCCACAGCAACCATGACCTACCTGTGATCTCCATATCAGTATCCATGGCATTGTGGCAGTTATCAGTACCATGCATTAATTCTACAAGGCTACACCAATAACAAATGACATTGTGTTTATAACATCAAGTCATCAATGTTAATGCCTCTCAGCGGCTCGTTCCTTTGGCAGAGGAGGAGAAATACACAGGCCTTCCGCTGTCTGAAGTGCTATTTTTAACTTACCCTTAATCCATCGCAGCTATTATTTTCTACAAAGTACTTGAGGTAAAAAAAGGTAGTTTAACTAGCCTTTTATTAAATGAAGATGTAAAAATTTTATAGGTTAGACACTATTAATCTATGGCTTAATTGCATACTCTCCTTGTTCTTGAATTATTATATTCACACTTAAGTAGTTAGACCTGTTAGTCTAGATTCAATTGACATAATGCAATTTTTATGTCTACTTATTTGCAGGAAATTTATGGACTGATTTGGAAGAGAGAAAAAATCAAGATGATGAAGTCAGAGTTGCAATGAGTAGAGATACCAAAAAATCTTCTGATGTCACAAATAAATATTTTGGAACCAATATGCAGAATGCAGAGTTACAAAATTCAGCGATATTACAAAAGCCAATCACACCAAATCCCATTGTCGGCTCATTTCTAGTTGCCACTGAACACTTGGATGATTCAAACCTTTTCAACAAAGCCAAGATTCTCATTGTGGGTGCTGAACATGGTGTAGGATTTCAAGGTTTGATTGTTAACAAGCCTATCCCCAGCTGGGATTCTTTACCTCGATTGCGAGACGTAAAACTACTTGAAGGAGCTCTTGTTTCTTTTGGGGGCCCAGTCATTCAACAAGAAATGCCTCTTGTCTCCTTGGCGAGGATTTCTTTCAACAATCAATACCCTCAAGTTCTACCCGGTGTCTATCTCCTTGATCAATTGGAAACACTCGGCAAAATTAAGGATATTGAAGCAGGAAATCTGTCTGCTACTGACTTGTGGTTCTTTTGGGGCTACTCAGGCTGGAGTTGGGACCAACTTCTAAATGAGATAGCTGAAGGATCGTGGAAGCTTCATGAGGGAAGTGTTGAAGATCTACAGTGGCCAAAATGAGAGCTTAGCCTCACAAGATGGAGATATGTCTTATGTGAAATGCCTCACCCAAGTTCTGGAGGACTTCTTTCATTAAATCTGAATTCCCTTTGATCGAAGCATTGAGGATGAAGTTAGAAGGCTGCAGGGGGTGGGGGACTATTTTGCGTAACTAGGCTGCTGGCTGATTGATATCTTATGTTTGGTAATGTATATGATGTCTCCCCAACTACATGAAAGGATAGAATGTTCGAAGGTTTTGAAGGAATGAAAGAGATGTGTCCTGCTCCACACTCCCTATTCCAATATCTGTAACATTTACCAGCATTTCCTGTGCAATATGTTCTCAGTTTGTTCTATTTTTTATCGCCTTTAGGTTAGAGTATTCGTTACCTAAATAGAAATAGGGAAGAAAACAGAATTCAGGTTTATGGGGGATTCGAAAGAAGAACCTCTGCAGCAGAATTCTCATTTTGGTATAGTAATATTTTACAGCTACTAATAGGCTCCTATGTTGTACTGTATCACTGATGCATATGAATGAAGTTCACAAAAGTAACCATTTTTCTTCTTCTGTGTTTCTCCAAACCCTTTGACGGTTGATGAGTAGGGCCATTGGGTGCTTTGGAATGTCGTTGGTTGATTGCTTACCCTTGATTCTTAATTTATTTATTATTATATCTTTATATTATTTCTATTTTATTTATGCTTATGCATTTCTTTTTAAAAAGGCTTTAAATTTTTAATAACAATTTTGGGCTAATTTTAGGACGAATTTGGTTTTTATTTTTTTTTAATTTTTTTTATTATACAGTGTCGATTTTGCTTTGAAATCATTAAGCGAAATTGTCATTTATTTATCATTGAGAAATCTTACAAGAACTTGTCAGGAAATTCTTTTTGGTAACCTTCAACTTTTTATTTTTCTTTGTGATAAATTGCAAAAAACTTATTATCTTTGGTAGGGCACGAATTATTTATAATAAGTAAATAATAACATTAATGATTAATTTTAATCAAATCTTTAACTATAGTTATTTTTTTTAATTTTTTTTAACATTTAAATTATTTAATAATTTAACCTAAAATAATTTCTTAATAAAAAAAAGTCACCAAACCAACCTAGCCTCCCTCAGCGGCCCGACGCCCTTCCCCCACCCCTGTCGTCGTCCCTTCTCTCCACTAGTTGATCATTCTCTCTCTCAGCCACATCATGCTCACCCGCTCGTAGGGAAATTCACGTATCTTCAATGGCGTCGGCGTTAGCAGCGGTGATTTTGAAAAATCCTAACTTTTAGGAGGACCAACTCGTCAATTTGACCATTGAAGACATTGTTAGGGCTTCTCACATTTTTTTTTTTCGTTTTTTTTTCCTGTGTTTTCAACTTGATAATGGCGGAATTTCGATTTAGGGTTTGTAGTTTTGTGAACTAGTTTGATTGGATTGATTTCGTGAGTTTTTGTTTGTGGTTTTTGGTGGGTGTCGGGGTGAGGGAAGGAGGGCGGTGGGGTGTCGGGGGTAGAGGTAGGGTCGTCGCTGGACGCTTTTGTTAATAAGAATTTTTATTTATCACCGAGCTTGTTCAGGTATTGGGAACAAAAATATAATGTTATCAATGTTAATAAGAATTTTTACAATTTACCAATGAGAAAAATGAAAAATTGGGTGTTACAAAAGAGAATTTCTTTTTATTTATCACCGAGCTTTTTCAGGTATTGGGAAATCAAGTCATGACTCCTCAAATATGGCCAGTGATTTTCGCACACCCCAAATTGATAACCGCACACCCCCCTTTGGCCCACTACAATTTACTTTCCTAATTTCCTTCTAAGTGTATTAAGTCTCACGTGCCAATGTCTTACTTTTTTATTTATTTTTTTAATTTTGACTTTTGTGGGTAAATTACCCAGCTCCCAAATCGTAAACATTGAGTTTGCTTTTTACTCCAACTCCCCTGTACACATCCCACCATTAATCTTTTAACCCCAAAAGCTTCTACCTTTTCATGGGACTTCACCTTTCCAAAATACCTCAATTGTAATTGCACTTTATTATAATTAGGAAGATGGATGGAGAATTTGATTTTTAAGGTTTAGAGATTAAAAATAGTATAATAAGATTAGATTTTCTTAACTTTTATGTTAATCAAAACCAGAAGAGTACTATTGTAAAACCAAAAAAAACAAAACTCGTATTATCGAACTTTGAGCAGCAGGCTAAGTGTATATTTTTTTATGGGTTTTTGATTATTAAGAATATATTTTTGTGACTATTCTTGTTAAATTTTTTGATTGTATAGGTTCACCACAATTTGACGATCATCAACCTCCTCAAATACCCACTGATATGTATCAACTTTCATCACAACATTTTTCGAATAGAGAAACATTGTTGGAGACTGTTCGGGGAATGGCCTACTCACAAGGCTTTGTTACAGTGATTCAAAAAAAAAAAAAAAAACAGATGGGTTATTATTAGCTGTGATCGGGGTGGATCATATCGAACTAATCGTAGCCATATCCCTTATAGTGGAAAGAAAAAGTCAGAAACTCGATTAATGGATTGCCCATTTCAAATTTGTGGAAGAATGAACCAAGACATTATTTGGAGAGTCGAAATTAAAGATCTTTCTCTCATAACCATGATTTATCTAGTGATATTTCGGGAGATCCTTATGCCCGGCGTTTCTCAAGGCAGGAAGTTAATGAGATTAAAGTGATGATTGCTGCTGGCATTGCTCCACGGTAGATACTTACAAAACTTCGAAAAGGTAATTCTAATCTAAAAGCAATATCTAGAAAACTTTATAATATGAAGGCTAAAATTATTAAAGATGGGCTAGAATGTCGTTCAATGATCCAAGTTTTGATGGATGAAATTGGTAAAGGTGGTTTTATTTATGATGTTGAGTGTGATAATGAAGGATATGTGACACATTTGTTGTTTTCTCATCCAAGTTCGATTGAACTAGCAAGAATTTACTCATATACTTTTGTGATGGACTGCACTTATAAGACTAACAAGTATAAAATGCCTTTACTTGATATTGTTGGAGTTAACTAGTTTTAATACATCATTCTTTTGCGGGTTTGCCTTCTTATTTAAAGAGGAGGAAAGTGATTATGTGTGGGCACTACAAAAATTTGGTAAAATTTTGGGTAATGATAAGCAACCATCGGTGATTGTGAGTTATCGAGAGTTGGCTTTGATGAATGCAACTAAAGTTGTTTTCCCTAATACTTGTAATTTGTTGTGTGTATGGCACATTGAAAAAATTATTTTAGCAAAGTGCAAGCCTTTTTTGGATGATGGTGATGAATGGGATGTGTTTATGTCCGATTGGACAAATTTGATTGAATCTTCAACTGAAAATCAATTTTAATGAAGCTTGGTCTGAATTTGAAGTGAAGTATGGGAAGTACAAGGAGATTCTTATTTACATTCAGAATACTTGGTTTCCATGGAAAAAATTTGTCATGCTGTTGATCATCAGTATGATGAGATTAAAACACAATTGTAGAAGATATGCATTCCTCATGACTTGTGTATCCCCTTCTTAAGTAAGCTCATAGGTCATGTTTCTCATTTTGCATTAAGAAAACTCCTTAACCAATTTGAGCTAGCTTATTCCAATTCTTTGTCTCCTACTTGTACTGGTTAGTTTTCAAAAACTATGGGTACGGTCTCCCTTGTGCTTACGTGATGAGAAGGATGACAAATGAGGATTTAAATCTTGACAACATTCATTACCAGTGGAGAATTGACAACATATCACTTTCAAAGAGCGGAGAGAATCAAGATGTTCATGGAGATCGGATTGATGTGCTTGTACAAGAGTTACAACTCAAATATCAACAACTGCCTCTTACTCAAAAAGAATCGAAAACAAATTTCCCAATTTGTTAGTTCTTCAAGTCCTTTGGTTCTTGATTCCATGATTCGTTAATCTAAAACTCTTGGAATTAATTCAAGAAAAAAGAAAAAACAAAGTACTTCTACAAAGAGGGATCCTTCAACTTTTGAGATGGTCGAAAAGGTCAGAAGGTGCAGCATGTGTGGCAACACGAATCATGATCGTACAAGATGTCCTAAAATTACTACTCCAAACTCTTCAATGTCCTTCATGCCTCCAATTTTGAATGACTTGACTAGTCCATCCACCTCTTTTGTTGTTGATTTGAACATTTTGCCTCCAAACTCGGATTATAATAACTCATCGTAAGGTTAATTTTTTTTTTGGTAAGTTGTGTTTATATTTTCATGCTATTGTATTATTATATAAAAGATATTATATTAACATGTTTAATTAATATTGTGAAGGTCGAGAATATTTGATTTTATGTGATGTCCACGATACAAAGTGCAAAGAAACTAATTAAGGTAATTCGTTTTTTTTTTCTTTTTTTTTTCGTAGTTTGGTTTTATGTTTAATTGTCTAAACTAATTATTGTATGCTATTGTAGTTTTGTCGTAATGGATGCAGGTTTAGTCATTGGATTGGAGTAGTTAGTTCGAAGTTACTGGCATAAGATCTTTGGAGTAGCTTTGGTTGATGAATCATATTCATGTATCTTTTGAGACAATATTTGTTGATTTAACTTTTGCCCAACATTTGTATTTTGTTAAAAACTTAATTTGAGGTAATCATAGTTATTAATTTAAGATGTTTAATATTTTATAATATCTGATTGATTATAAAATGTCATTTTTTTTAAGAAAAAAAAATATCATTTTTATATTTATGTAAAAAAAAAAAATCAAACTTGACTCATGGTAGAGAACTACTTCTAGTGCGCTAGAATACTTAACACTTGTTTTATAATTAGAACAAACAAGATCTACTTCTACCAAAAAAAAAAAACAAAAGAAATTAGATTAATGACTAAAATAAAATACATAAAGCAAAGCAAAAGTCAAATATCAATTTGCTTTCCCACGTGCATAGTTGTGAGATTTGATTATGGGGTGTGCGGTTATCAATTTGGGGTGTGCGGAAATCAGTGGCCCTCAAATATATATGAACCTTTTTATACGACTATGATTTTAATATCTTATATTCAGATTTCTTTGAAAAAATTTGTTACATGCACCCTAATTCTAGGTTCTGATAAATTTGATGTTTTGTGGGATTGAAGTGGTGGTCTAAAACACTTACGCTACCTTAGTCTCATATTCAATAGGATAAAGTGTTGCCACAATCAATTGATAATATTTGGAATCTTAACATTATACTTGAAAAGTTGCTGCAAACTTGAGAAGGGTCCATAAATTGTATTTCTTGGAAAACTGCACTTTCATAAATTCCCTTGATGGAGATGCCACTTAGAATTGGGAAATTAAAAACCTTCAAACTTCGACCAATTTTATGTTAGTAGTTATAGGTGGGTGCAGGGTAAGGGAGTTGGGGAAGTTGATTAATCTTCGCGTGGAGGATTACTCATTTTGGGGGTAGAAAATGTAAAGGTTAAAGAAACCCAGTTGAACAAAAAAAAATTATAAAAAAAAAGTCTAGATAAGTTGTATCTATAATAGGAAACTTGTGGGAGAGGGTTGTAACACCCTAGAAATTCCTCTCCTTTAAAATACATGTTTTGCTCTTTTTAAAAATACAAATTAGGAAAATCTAAGATATTACTGCCACCGTGAAAACGGCTAAGACAATTATCAAAGACACACAATGGAAGA